GCCAACCAGCCAAACTTTGATCCTAGACTTTTAAAAACAACTTTTCACAGGTGTAACCTTAAGCTGTCAGATTGATTCCACCATATTAAATAATAATTTTGATTTCAGTTTCAAATCAACCATTTAAATGTTACTGTATGAAGCACATTTTTAGCTTACCTACAAAACTGGTTGGAAAGAAATATGGGGGAATTCATTAATTCAGTATATAATAAACTCAAGGTATGCCACCTCACATTTCCTTGTAGGCATGGTGTGCTGTAAAAATGACCATCAACTGTATTTTACCGGTAGTGGTTCCTTTATATTGGCAGTGTATTGTGGAAATGATTTAATCAAGCTTCTTTTCACTCACGTGTGGAGGTGGGGACTGTCTCATCACCTCTTCAATCCCTCCTCTGAGAATCAGCCTGAGATTAAAATATGTCATCATAATGTAATCCAAAAAATAAATATATAAATCCTCAGAAGATGGGGGTGGCTACTCTATGGCTCATCCTTTAAGATCTTATTTAATCTGTTCAAGTTCATTAAGATGAAGAGTAGGGGAAGAGACACGGATTTGAGTCGCCCGGGAAAAGAGGGGGTGGGGGTTCTCAAAGGCAGCGGATCCCTCGTCAGGCCTGTGCAGAGAAATGCGTAATTACTTAAGCTTTCACCGTTTAAAAGACACTTTTCGCTGAATGTCCAGAAATAACCATCCGTGGGCACGGAAGCAGGTCAACGCGAACAGTCTTAAACAGCATCGCATGATTCTGCTCAAGCTCTATGCATGGAAAGAGCTGGATGAATCACATTCTGACAGGCTTATGTATGCGAATGTGCATGATACGTGTTTCTAGGATAAAAAATAAATCAAAAATAAAAACATGTGACTTGTCAAAGCTCATTATGTGGTGTGCTGGAATTTGCAAAGCTTGAATAGCAGCAAACAGGATGCACATCATTGTGTATTAAGAGCACCAGTAGGATTGTTACAGAAATGAATGGATGTTCTGTCTTCATGGAGAGTGTCCAACAAAAACACTGAGGTTTTATTATTCCTGGGACTGGGACATGTTAGGATAACACTGAAATCGTGTTTAGCTAGAATATGTAATCTTTGAACGTCTTGATAATCCATTAGAATGATGGCACATATTCATGAGATCATAAATGTCTTAATGGCAGTGTTAAGGAAGCCACTTTGAATCTTTAGATTCTCAAGCTACAAGGTTTTAATAAAATATAAGTACCTTAAGAGTGACGCAAAACATAGTGACACAAGCTTCAAACAAGAAGTAGCTACAATAAGCTATTTGAGGGGTAGTATCTTTTTATTTTTTTATCAGATGGTATGCTTTTTTTTTTTGATCACCTATTTGGTCAACATTATCCAGAAGACTGTGTGACTTGCAAGGCAAAAAAGTTAAAAACAAGTTATTGCAAATGAACAAGTCCCAGAGCCTTGTGGGCAGCACTCTGACCTATTGTGCAGATATTCTTCAGGCAACCATGAGTTTGAGTCCTGAGCTCCCTTCTCTCCTCTCCCATTGCTTCCTTGTCCTAATAAATGCAGAAATGGCAATAACTTAAAGACACCAATGAATCGTTCACAAAAACCCAATAAACATGCAGTGAGAATGTAAATAGGGTTGATTTTGATTATATATTGCCTCTTAAAGCGGCTGAGCTGTTGTGATTCTGTAAAATGTAATTAAAGTTAGTAGCATCGCTGCCTCCCTAACACTGTTGCTTTTAATGAAGCTTCAAGTCTCAACCAACATTAGAAGAAAATAACAGTAAAAGACTAGAAAGCAGTGTGCTTATTTCTCGTCTTCTATAGCTTTTAAGCATGCATACGTCTTGTTTTCATCTCAGTTTATTCAGCACAGTTTATTAACATTGAAAAGTTCAAGGATGGACAAGCAAATATGTTTTTATGTTGTAAACAAGAAAGTAACCCAGGTGAAAAAGACGTAGTATTAAATGTATTAAAAATATACTTGAAATTCAAGTAGTATGTTTATAATACATTTGTATTCCCAACATGCTTATTTGAAGTGCAATAAAAATATACTGAATTGCATTTTAATATGTTTCTAAAAAGTATACTAGAAGTACTTTTGTATTAAATATATGCTTAGTTATACTTCTAAGAAATATGCTAAACAGAAGCATACTTTTAATGTATTTATAAAAAGTATACTAGAAATACTTTGGTAATAAATATATGCTTAGTTACACTTTTAAGGGATATACTAAACACAAGCATACTTTTAGTGACTTTTTAGTGTATTTACAGAAAACATACTTATGTTACCCTTACTTAAAGTATATTTTTTGTCTACTTTGTGTAAGAACATAACAAAATGATTACACTTTTAGTGGGTTTTTAATGTACTTTATATTGCAGTAGGCCTGCACATGGTTATATTTTAAATATTTATGTATTTATCATTTTAATATTTGGAAAAGTACAATATTTTGAAAAACATTTTTAACATTTACAATGTACAAACGTTTGTCAACTATTATTAAGCATTGCGATATTTAAAATATGTTGTTTAATATGTTGTTCAGTTTTACTTAAAAG